CGGAAAAGAATAACATGAAGCTTGCGTCGACGCTTAAAGGTATCTGTGCATGCCTCCAAAAAATCGTCACAGGGTTTTGTCTTTTTCGCCCGCCCCTATCTCCCTCTCCTCCTCTTCCCCCTCCTCCTTCTCTTCCATGTCCTCGTAGTGTTCCGCATTGCTCCTTTTCCTCCTCTTCTTTCTCCTCTTCTTCTTTCCACTCCACGCCCTCTGTCCTTTTCTCCCTCTCTCTCTCTCTCGTCTCCCCCTCTGTCCTGTCTGTCTGTCTGTCTGTCTGTCTGTCTGTCTGCCAGTCTATCTGATTGTCTGTCTGTCTGTCTGTCTGTCTGTCTGTCTGTCTGTCTGTCTGTCTGTCTGTCTGTCTGTCTGTCTGTCTGTCTGTCTCGTTCTCTCTCTCTCTCTCAACCTCATGTTGCTCCTCCTCTTCCTTCGCAGACGCCGCTCGCGTCTCCGGTGGAAGCCGCAGGCGCCCCGATGGCACCCATCTCGGCCTTCGGCAGAACACCGGTGCCCCAGTGCGATCGAGAGGGCCAGCTCGATGTGGCCTAAGAGAGGGGCAAACCTTGGATCCAGGCGTTGGGATTGTTTCATTTTGGGTGTTTTCTCCCGGTTTCGGGCCCCAGACCATCACAGATCGATCCAGCTCGAAACATGCCGCAGAAAGATGGGGTCTAGGGCTCCGGTCGTGATTTTGTTCCCCACATGCTTCGTGGGGTTCTGGTTTTCTTCCCTGCCGCGCCGCACCCGCGACACTCACACACACACACACACCTCACTCTTCGCACAGCACAGCACAGCACAGCACATTACAGCACAGCGCAGCACAGCTCAGCTCAGCACGGCACACAGCTCAGCTCAGCTCAGCATACAGCACAGCGCAGCACAGCACAGCACAGCTCAGCTCAGCTCAGCACAGCACAGCTCGTGGTTTTCTTCCCCACATGTTTCGTGGGGTTCTGGTTTTTCCCCACATGCTTCGTGGGGTTCTGGTTTTCTTCCCTGCCGCGCCGCACCCGCGTCTCCTCACACCTCCCCTCCTCTCTCTTTCTTCCTCCCCTCACTCACACACACACACACACACACTTCACTCTCCCCCCCCCCCTCGTCACAGCACTGCTCAGCTCAACTCAGCACAGCACAGCACAGCTCAGCTCAGCACAGCACAGCTCGGCTCAGCTCAGCACAGCTCAGCACAGCACAGCACGGCTCAGCTCAGCACAGCACAGCACAGCTCGTGGCACTTTCTCGACACCACAGGGGGTGCGCAGGGGTGCAAAGGCTAGCAGGCGTGGCAATTTCTCGACACCACAGGGGGTGCGTAGGGGGTGGTCCCTGAGCGCGGCCGCTATCCGTGCCAGTCGTCCAGGCATAGCAGGCGAGGCATTTTCTCGACACCATAAGGGGTTGCGCAGAGGGTGGTCCCTGAGCGCGGCCGCTATCCGTGCCAGTCGTCCAGGCATAGCAGGCGTGGCACTTTCTCGAAACTATAGGGGGTGCGCAGGGGGTGGTCCCTGAGCGCGGCCGCTATCCGTGCCAGTCGTCCAGGCATAGCAGGCGTGGCACTTTCTCGACACCATAGGGGGTGCGCAGGGGGTGCGCAGGGGGTGTCCCTGAGCGCGGCCGCTATCCGTGCCAGTCGTCCAGGCATAGCAGGCGTGGCACCTTCTCGACACCATAGGGGGTGCGCAGGGGGTGGTCCCTGAGCGCGGCCGCTATCCGTGCCAGTCGTCCAGGCATAGCAGGCGTGGCACTTTCTAGACACCATAGGGGGTGCGCAGGGGGTGGTCCCTGAGCGCGGCCGCTATCCGTGCCAGTCGTCCAGGCATAGCAGGCGTGGCACTTTCTCGACACCATAGGAGGTGCGCAGGGGGTGGTCCCTGAGCGCGGCCGCTATCCGTGCCAGTCGTCCAGGCATAGCAGGCGTGGCACTTTCTCGACACCATAGGGGGTGCGCAGGGGGTGGTCCCTGAGCGCGGCCGCTATCCAGTCTCCAGTCGGCGTGCCAACAGCAGGCGTGGCACTTTCTCGAGGGGGTGCGCAGGGGGTGGTCCCTGAGCGCGGCCGCTATCCGGGTCGTCCAGGCAAGCAGGCGTGGCACTTTCTCGACACCATAGGGGGTGCGCAGGGGGTGGTCCCTGAGCGCGGCCGCTATCCGTGCCAGTCGTCCAGGCATAGCAGGCGTGGCACTTTCTAGACACCATAGGGGGTGCGCAGGGGGTGGTCCCTGAGCGCGGCCGCTATCCGTGCCAGCCGTCCAGGCATAGCAGGCGTGGCACCTTCTCGACACCACAGCGCACGGTGGTCCCTGAGCGCGGCCGCTATCCGTGCCAGTCGCCCAGGCATAGCAGGCGTGGCACTTGCTCGACACCATAAGGGGGTGCGCAGGGGGTGGTCCCTGAGCGCGGCCGCTATCCGTGCCAGTCGTCCAGGCATAGCAGGCGTGGCACCTTCTCGACACAATAGGGGGTGCGCAGGGGGTGGCCCCCGAGCGCGGCCCCTATCCGTGCCAGTCGTCCAGGCATAGCAGGCGTGGCACTTTCTCGACACCATAGGGGGTGCGCAGGGGGTGGTCCCTGAGCGCGGCCGCTATCCGTGCCAGTCGTCCAGGCATAGCAGGCGTGGCACTTTCTCGACACCACAGGGGGTGCGCAGGGGGTGGTCCCTGAGCGCGGCCGCTATCCGTGCCAGTCGTCCAGGCATAGCAGGCGTGGCACTTTCTCGACACCATAGGGGGTGCGCAGGGGGTGGTCCCTGAGCGCGGCCGCTATCCGTGCCAGTCGTCCAGGCATAGCAGGCGTGGCACTTTCTCGACACAATAGGGGGTGCGCAGGGGGTGGCCCCCGAGCGCGGCCCCTATCCGTGCCAGTCGTCCAGGCATAGCAGGCGTGGCACTTTCTCGACACCATAGGGGGTGCACAGGGGGTGGTCCCTGAGCGCGGCCGCTATCCGTGCCAGTCGTCCAGGCATAGCAGGCGTGGCACTTTCTAGACACCATAGGGGGTGCGCAGGGGGTGGTCCCTGAGCGCGGCCGCTGGCTGGCTCGAATCTGTCCTTGATGGAGGATAGAAGGCTAGGAAGAGGGAGGAGGTTCAAGCAATACGGCGTTGGATGACACAGAGGGGAACATTCGCGACGAGGGCTGAGAACGCAGAATTGCGCATATATTATAAACTTAAGCAAGCACATAAGATTTAAATTGAGTATGTGGGGTTCCTCGGTAGCGTAATTTGCGATGTTGATTTTGTTCCCAACATCGGATCTGATTGAAGTTCCTCGAACGACGTCCTCTGCCAGCCCAAAGTCCAACGTGTCTATGATCGCAGGCTCAGGGCCCGCCGCCCCCCCCCCCCCCAGATGGGATGGGTCCCAGGGTCCCTCGGGCCCCCCCCCCCCAGATGGGATGGGGGGGAGGAGGAGGGAGGAGGAGGAAGAGGAATAGGAGGAGGGGAGGAGAGGAGAGGAGGAGGAGGAGCGGACAACGACGACGGAGGAGACGACGACGACAACGACGACGACGACGACGACGACGACGACGACGACGACGACGACGACGACGACGACGACGACGACGACGACGACGACGACGACGACGACGACGACGACGACGACGACGACGCGACGACGACGTCGACGGCACCACCAGCGGCGGCGGCGACGACGTCGAGCACCGGAGCTGTCAACATGACGCCAATCCCAGCCACACGCCGCACCCACACCGCACCCACAGGGGGGGAGGGAGGGGGGGAGGAGGACCATGGCGTCACCCCGCACACACCCACAGCAACACACCACACCCACACCACATCCACAGGGGGGGGGAGCCACCACGCCACGCCCACGCCCACAGGGGGGGGGGGGGCATCGCGCGGGGGGGGGGCCCGATGGCATTAGCATTGGGGGGGGGGCCCAAACCCTCGACCATACATACCAACCATGCGGAAGCACCGCAACGCCACCTGGCAAGAAGGAGGCGAGAAGGAGGAGGGGGCCACCCCCAGAGGTCTGGACCCCTTTCCCAGGACTGGCTCTTCATTCCGAGCCGTTTTGGACGACCCGTGCTCGGCAAGGCAGGGGTCGACCTAAACGGTGTTTGGGCGATGTCGTGGGCCGTGTTCGTTTCGATCGCGCTTTGCAGCACAGGCGGATCGAAGACAAAACAAGAGGGAACGAGACCGACAGGAAAACGAAGACACACTGCTTGGGTCGATCCCTGCGGCAAGGGCCCCCGAGAGCCAGAGCATGCCAGAGGACCAGCCCGCAGCCTGTTGCCCGCCGCGAGGAGGCCCGGGAAGGTCCATCGCCGAGCCCCCCGAGCCTTGGCGCATGTTCATGCCATTGCTCTCCTTGGGCCGCAGGTCCTTCCGAGGTCGCCGTGGGGGCAACGGGCCCTGCGGGAAGCGGGTCCGGAGGTTTTTTTTTCCGCCGTTAGCAGGGATCTCGAGGGGCCTTCCACGGGCCCTGGGACTGCCAGAGAACGGCTCAGGATGACGATCTCGTCCTGGGGAAAGGCCCCAGGGTCCAGGACCCGTTTCCCTCAGGACCCGCTTCCCCCATGTGGTGTGGTGACCTCCTCAGCCCGCACCAGTGGCAGAGCAGGGGATTCATCGCCGATAGAGAAGCACCTCTAGCATCCTCTAGCATCTCCGCGCACCTGGCTTGCATGATCGCGCTGGTAGAAAGCACCGACTGCGAATCGATCCACGAACCTCCTCCTCCTCCTCCTCCTACTCCTCCTCCCTCCTCCTCCTCCTCCTCCTCCGTCTCCTCCTCCTCCTCCTCCTCCTCCTTTTCCCCACCTCAGACCTCGGGCGCCCTTTTTCTGTCACAGCGCGGGGAGTCCCATCGGAGCGCCTTGGGCTCCCCCGCAGACCGTGCACGCCCCCGTTAAATGCTCGTTGAGACCACACTAGCGGCTTACAACACCAGGAAACATCATCGTCACCTTCAGCGGAATCATCATCACCGCCATCATGGCCATCATCACCGACCGTATCCATACCAGTTCAAGCGGTGTCGAGGCGCAGCCCACCCCCCGCGCGTGCTTATGGCTTATCGGGTTGACCACAAGGGTTGGAAGTTGGCGGCCCTTGAGGCGATCGCCACCGTCAACAAGCGCATCACCGTCAACATCAGAGGAGGTCATGGGGAGCAGGCGCTCGGCTTCCGCTGGGACAAGGCTGGAGCGTCGGGGACCGCGCGCGTCGCCGAGGTCTTCAGCCCCGTGCTGCGGGCTGCGAGTGTACGGCCCGGGGCCCTGCTGCTCTTGGTGGATGGACTGGACACCGCCGTGCTCACCACAGAGCAAGTCGAGACGCTGCTCCAGACCAGCGGCCGCCACTCTCTTCGGCTGGGCTTGCGGGTGGTACTCCGCCCTGGTAAGGCTCGCGCCGCCCCAGCGCCACCTAAGAAGCGGCGACTCGACCCTGACATGGGCGTGGTCACCACGGAGTCCGGGCTCTGGGCGTACAACACCTCGTGGGCGGGGATTGCCGTCACAGACGAGGAGGCACGCCGCCGCGAGGCTAGGGCCCAGAAGTATGGAGCGCACGGGGTCGCAGCCACAGGGACTAACAGATCCCAGACAGAAAGCGGCACCGCTGCGGTCCCCAAGACGCTGCTGTGGAAGAACGAGCCGAAGGAAGAGTTGGAGGAGGAATCCAGGGTGGAGAAGCAGGGCGAAGCCGACGAGGAGTGGGAGGCGGTGGCAATCGACGGCTACGAGGACGAGTGGGGTGAGGACGACGAGGTGATCGACTTGCATGCCCCTGGGTCCCTGGGCGCCATCGTCGGAACCTGCCAGGAGCTCGAGAAGGGCTACCTGCGTCTCACGGAGGAGCCCTGCCCAGAGCGCGTTCGGCCGCTCCAGGTGCTCCGCTCAGCCGTGGACCGCCTCAGGAGGCTCCGCGATGGGCCAGGGGAGGCGCGCAGTTGGCAGTACCTCGGTGATCAGCTCCGCTCGGTGCGGCAGGATCTCCTGGTGCAGGGCCTGCAGGACCCTGCGCGATCGCCCGCAGGCGCCGCCCTCGCGGCCGAGGTGTGCGTCCTCAACGCGCGGTGGGCGCTGGCCGCCGGGGACGTCGTCCACTTCGTGCCGTCCGTGTCGGAGCTCCGTGGCCTCCACCACGCGCTGCGTGGTGCAGGCCTGGCGGTCGCCCGTGACGTGGAGGTCGAGTTCTTGGGTTGCCGTTTGCTGTGCGCCACTCTCTTGGAACTCCAGGGCGAGCAGCTGGAGGCCGAGGCGGAGGCCAGCCGCTCGATGCCCTTCTCCCCGCTGCTCGCGTGGGTGCGCGCCGTGTCCTGCGCATACCGGGCGGGCCGTCACGTGCGGTATTTCGCTCTTTGCGAACAGGCACCAGAGTGCGCAGGCGTTGAGACGGCGGTACTGCTGCTGCGCGCCTTCCACGACCGCGTCCGCCTCAAGGCCTTGCAGCGCCTCTGCCGTGCCGTGCCTGGCGGCTTCTCCATCGGCACGGTCTCGCGGCAGTTGCGGCTCGGCTGCGAGGAGGAGTGCGCTGCTTGGTGCCACCGTGTCGGCGGCGCGGTTTTGGAGGCGTCGCCCAGGGGTGGCAGCACCGTGCACGTGAACGCGCGGGACACCGCGGAGGCCCTGCGGGGCCACCGGCTCCTCGCCTCGCGCCACGGCGTGCCCAGGGCGCCGCAGGAGGAGTCCGCGCTGGCCGCCGTGCCGCAGGTGACGGTGGTGTCTTCGCCGAAGGCGGCGCCGCCACCTCCCTCTGGCAACGCCGCTGCCGCTATGGGCGCGCGCGCCCGCGCGCTGGCGCGCAAGGCCGCCAGAGAGCAGCGCGAGGCAGGTGCTGCTTAAACAGCACAAATCATCATCATCATCACCACCGTAATCGTCTCGCTCCCCATCACCGTCCCCACCACCGTCGCACCATCGCCTTCTTCGTCCACAGCCCATGACTACATCGTCGCCATTGTCCCCATTGCCGTCGCCGCCGTCATTTCCACACTCGTTATTACCACCATCAACATGTAGTCCTCTTGTCCTTCGTCTCTGCTGTAAGCGGTCCTGAGCGTGTCCGGCAGTGGGGATTCCCAATATCTTGTTGTTGCCTTTGATGTTTCCTGTTTGTGGGCCCGAGATGTCTCGGCCCCTTCGCTTGTGCGGTAGTCTTGAAACGCGGATTGCGTTTCAGGGTCCGTGTTCTTGGAGACCCACCGAGGGCAAGACTGTGGGAAGCATGCTGACGCCACTTAAGCATTGCCAAGTCGCTGTCTCCTGTAGAGACGGTCTAACCCCAGAATCTGCCCACCAGCACATCCAGAAGCGAAGCCCAGGCGAGTTTCCCTGATCAGAGATATGGAGGAACATGCCGTGAAATGACGGGCTGGGGAAGCCGTCATACCCCAAGAGGGGGAGGATGGAGGAGGAATCGGAGGAGGGTGAGTGAGAGGGGGGAAAGGGAGGAGGAAGGAGGAGGAGGAGGAACAGGCGGAGGAGGAAGAGGAGGGCGAGCAGAATGGACAGAGGCCTCTTGGATGCCTCTTGGAGTTTCTTTGGATGTCTCTTGAGAGCTTATTGGGGTCCTGTTGGGGCGTCCTGGGGGCCTCTTGGCGGTCCTGGTGGCCTCTTGGAGCGTCTTGGGGTCTTCGGGGGAACCTCTTGTGGCCCCTTGGGAGCCTCTTAGGGAGCCTCTTAGGGAGCCTCTGGGGGCCCATTGGGGCCTCCTCGGCGCCTCTTGGGGCTCTCTTAGGGACACTCGGGAGCCCTGGGGGCCACCTTGGAGGAGATCGCTCAAATATGGGGGGGGTCTCTACTTAGGGCCCTCCCTTTCTGCAGCTCCAAGCTCGCCTCTTGGACCCCTTTGGGAGCGCTCCTGTGCGTTCTTGGGGCCATCTTGGGACCCTCTTCGGCGGCCCTTGGAGCTCCGTTGGGCCTTCTTGGAGCCATCATGGGGCCTTGGAGGGCCATGGGAAGCGAAAAGGCCAGAAGGCGAAATACATTGATTCACCTCACGGTTTTGAAAGGATGTTGGGCTGGTGGCTTTATTGGTGGTGCTCCGTGGCCACTCGGAGCCATCTTGGGCCGGTCTTGGGGCCTCTCGGAGCAGGTTGGAAGCTGTCTCGAGCGATGTTGAGCCATCCTGGAAGCCATCTTGCGCTCCCCGAGGCCCCCTTGGAGCCATCCTGGGCCATCTTGGACGCTCCAATGGGCTGCGGCCCCCCCACCCCCTCCAGACCCAGGGTGGGGGGGTGGGGGGGGGTTCGAGGCCCCCCCTTCGCCCGCAAGCCGTCTCGCTCTCTCCCAATCGCCCTACCAACACATGAGTAACACCCGAGGGAGTCTCAGCATATTGCTTTAAAGCGCCAAGCATGCCATGTGCGCCACGGGTTCCAGGTGCACCAGACACCCTGGAGGCCCAAGCGAGCCAGGCGTGCCGAGTGCGGCACGTGCTCCACGCTTAAGCAATATGCCAGCACCCCTGCCGACCCTGTCAAAAAACAATGCGAAGTGGTCGCGGGGCGCCCGCGCATGCTCCAGATTTGGAGGCAAAGTGCATTCTGCATAGTTTGTTGACAGGGATGGTTGGCCTGCGCGCAGCGAGCCATATGACGGCACCGCCGCCCCTGTCAAAAACCATGCGAAGTGGTCGGGGGGCGCCCGCGCCCGCTCCGGATGTGGAGGCAAAGTGCCTTCTGTATTGTTTTTGTTGACAGGGATGGTTGGCCTACGCGCAGCGAGCCACACGACGGCACCCCCGCCGCCCCTGACAAAAACCCATGCAAGATGGTCGCGGGGCGCCCGCGCCCGCTCCGGATGTGGAGGCAGACCTCGGAAACTGGGACACATATGGTCGAGGGTTTGGGCCCCCCCCGTGGCCGTGGGCGTGGCGTGGTGGCTCCCCCCCCCCTGTAGATGTGGTGTGGGTGTGGTGTGTTGCTGTGGGTGTGTGCGGGGTGACGCCATGGTCCTCCTCCCCCCTCCCTCCCCCCCTGTGGGTGCGGTGTGGGTGCGGCGTGTGGCTGCGATTGGCGTCATGTTGACAGCTCCGGTGCTCGACGTCGTCGCCGCCGCTGCTGGTGGTGCCGTCGACGTCGTCGTCGTTGTCGTCGTCGTCGTCGTCGTTGTCGGTGTCGTCGTCGTCGTCGTCGTCGTCGTCGTCGTCGTCGTCGTCGTCGTCGTCGTCGCCGTCGTCCTCCTCCTCCTCCTCCTCCTCCTCCTCCTCCTCCTCCTGCTCCTCCTCCCCCCCGCCATCCCATCTGGGGGGGGGGGGCCCGAGGACCCTGGGACCCATCCCATCTGGGGGGGGGGGGCCGTGGGCCCTGAGCCCGCGATATGTTGTTTCAATCCCGCGACTTTTTGAGGGTCGGGGACGACGTCGGGGTGGTGTGGCGTATACTTCTCCCCCGTTCTCCAAGGGAAACAGCGAAAAATGTGTACCCCAGGATCCCGTATGCACCAGCATCCGCGTTCCTGTGCAAATTTCAGCGCAGGGTCGGAAAACGCGTCGGTGTATAGAGCTCGTTTCCCGAAGAGTGCCTTCTACATTGAAGCTCGCTGAGGGGCAGCGAACGCGATCTGTGCTTCTGGGGCGACGGGGGAGAGGGCAATGCTGTTGTAGGGCAAGAGCAAGCCTGAGCAGCCCAATCGTCGGCAAGAGCAAACCTGAGATCAGAGCTCCTCGCGAAGGGCGGCTGTAAGGATTGCTGTGGACCGATCAAGCGCGGCCAGCGAGCGTACGGGGATCTGGCCCTGGAAACAACCCAGACCCCCGACGTCGTGATTTTTTCATGACGTCGACCCCCAGGGGTCTCGACCCATTCCCTGGGACCGGTTTTTCATCCCGAGTCGTTTTCTGACGGTCCCGAGGCCCGGTACGGGCCCCCGGAGGCCGCAAAGACGGAAAAACCTTCCGTCGTGACTTCTTTCACCACGCGAGGGGGGTCTGGGAACGCTGCCCCCCCAGCGACCTTCCACTTCTGCACGGCCAACGGGGGTCAGCCCTCCTCCTCCTCCTCCTCCTCCTCCTCCTCCTCCTCCTCCTCCCTCCTCCTCCTCCTCCTCCTCCTCCTCCTCCTCCTCCTCCCTCCTCCTCCTCCTCCTCCTCCTCCTCCTCCTCCTCCTGCGCCGGCCCGCGGCGGGGGCCCGCGGCTCTGCGTGGCGGGCCTCGGCGCCATGGGGCCGCGGCCCGCCACGCTCGGCCGGCCGGCGGAGGACCCCCCCGCGCGGCGCGAGGAGGCGCCGCGCCTCGCCGGCCTGGCCAGGGCCGTGGAGGACCACGTGGCCTCGTTTCGGGTCGGGCGAAGGTGGGGATAGCAGAGAAGGGTGGTTTACGAAATCTGCTGCATGCAGCGGGTGTCGGCCCCGCCGCCGGGCCCATTCCTCGATGCATGGGCGCCTCCCGGCGCCGGGAGGCGCCGGGAAAATCAGCTACGTGAGCTGATTCTCAACCCCCCCCTTTGCTATCCCCCCCTTTCGCCCGACCCGAGAGGACCACGTGGCCTCGTTCGGCGTGGTGCACTTCCGGCCCGCGTGGGACCGACGGGACGTATAACCCAGACCCCCTCGAGTAATGAAAAAATCACGACGGGATGTTTTTCCTAATTTTCGGCCTCCAGGGGCCCTCACCGGGCCTCGGGAGCGTCAAAAAACGACTCGGGATGCAAAGCCGGTCATGGGGAAAGGGTCCAGACCTTTGGGGGTCGACGTAACGAAAAAATCATTACGTCGGGGGTCTGGGAAGCCCGGGCATGCTCGCGGCGTAAAAAAAAAAAGTCGGGACACGGGGGGGGTTTGGGGGCCATGTTCGGCCCCCGGGGGGCCCTCGCGGGGCCTCGAGGCCGCCAGAGAAGGACTCGGGACGAAAAGCCGGTCCCGGGGAAAGGGTCGGGACTTCAGGGGCGCCGTCCTGACAGAAGCAGGACGTCCCATGTCTGGGAGAGTGGCCTTTCGCCGGAGTGACCTTCTGGTGCGGGCCCGACGGGGCCCCCCGACCGCCGAGCGCGATGCGGCAGCAGCGCCTTGCGCGCTCGTGTGTCGGCCCCCCCGCGGCCCCCCGCAAGCCGCGCACCAGAGATCACTCTTGCCCCGGGGCACTCCTTGCGTGCAGCCGATGGGAGGAGAGGCGGGGGGAGCTCGAGCTCGAGCACCTCGCCGGAGGCGGGGCCCCGAGCGCGAAGCCCGCGGCCGACCGGGCCAGGGCCAACCGGGCCGCCAGGAAGCGGTTCTTCCGGCTCTGGTTCGACGAGCTGGTGTTCCCGCGGTGGTGGGCCGTCCCCGGGCTCTTCTTGGCGGCGCGCAGAAGGCCCAGACCCCCTCGAGTCATGAAAAAATCACGACGGGAGGTTTTTCGCAATTTTCGGCCCCAGGGGGCCCTCACCGGGCCTCGGGACCGTCAAAAAACGACTCGGCATGAAAAGCCGGTCCCAGGGAAGGGGTCGAGACCTCTGGGGGTCGACGTCATGAAAAATTCATGACGTCGGGGGTCTGGGGGGGGTAGGGGGAGGGGGAAGGCTTCTTAGAAGGAGGCTGCTTCTTAGAAGGCGCGTCCTTACCGGAGGTGCTACAAAGAAGGCCCGCGCCTTCTAAGAAGCAGGGGTGCTTCTAAGAAGCCTTCCCCCCTCCCCCTACCCCCTTCTGCGCGTGGCCAGTCTTCTGCGGCCTGCAGCTGGCCTGCTTCTTCCAGACGGGCGACAGCCTGTTCGGCAACCTCACCGGCGGCGTGGTCGAGAGCCTCCACCTCGCCACCAACCGGCGGCCCATGGTCTGGCACTTCTTCGGCGGGATGGCGATGTGGGCGGTGGCCGCCGTGCAGTTCCTGGCCAAGCCGTTCCGGCACGGCCGCCTGGCCTTCGTGCACCGGGCGCTGGGCAGGCTGTTCTTGCTGCTCTGGGGGTGCCTCGTCGGGCCGACGGCGGTCTACCTGAGCCTCTTCTGCGGGACCGGGCCGCTGCGGGCGCAGTTCTGGATGACGGTGTTCGCGATCGTGTCGGTCGACACCGCCCTGCACTCCTACTACTTCTTCTGGAGGGCCTGGGTGATCATCCGCCGGCGCGCGAGCGAGGACTCGGTCCTGCTGCACCGCAAGGCCGTGACGGCGGGAAGCTTCTTCACGATGACGATCCTGTGGCAGCGCCCCCTGCAGGCCTTCGCCTTCATAGGCCTGCGCAGGGCCCTGCTGCACGCGGCCCATGCGCTGCAGGCGGAGTGGCCTCGGCACGTTGCCCTGAACCTGCTGGACCACAACGTGGGCCTGGCCGTCTCCACGGCCGCCATCGGCTTCCCCTCGCTGCTGCTGGACGGCCCCAGGTCGTGGCTCGCGAGGTCCGTCCTGGACATCTCGGACGAGCAGGCGGAGGAGCTCTACGGCTCCCGCGTGCCGGGGCCGAGGGAGGTCCTCTTCTGGCGCCTGCGGCACCCGCTGTACCTGGTCCTCCGCGCGCTGATCACGGACTTCTGGACGGTGAATCCGGACCCATAGGGGGCGCCGTGGGGGGGAAGTGGGTTGGGGAGGGGGGGGGGAGGGGGGGGGAGGTAGAGGTGCCCCTCGCCCTGACGAATCTGGACCCATAGGGGCACCGTGGCGGGGAACGGAGCCTGTGAGGGTGCATGGGGGAGGGCTCCCCATCTGGGACTCCTTTTGGAGCTGTCCTGGAGGGCCGTCTGGGAGTTTCTGGGGCGGTCTTAGGGCCCTCTTGGAGCCCTCTTGGGGGCCTCTGTGGCCGTGTTGGGGCGATCTTGGGAGCTTTTGGGGCAGTCTTCGACGCTGTGCAAGCCGAAGAGGCGAACATGCAAAATGCACGTTTGCGGAAGGAAAAGGGACGATTTTTGCTCTTCGGGCGCTTTTTCGGCCTCCTCTTGGAACTCTTTTGGGACGTTTCGGGGACCTCTTGGGCCGTCTTGAGGACACCTTGGGCGGCGCGGTGGCTTCTTGGACTGTCCTCGGGGCTTCTCGGGGCTCTCTTCGCCTGTTTGGGGGCCTTCTTGGGCGTGGTCACCGTCCCATAGGCCCGCGCGACACGCTCCTAGGGCGCCCGAACATCCCAGGAGGGCCCAAGAGCGCCCAAGAGCGTTGGCCTGGGCCCTTCAGAAACTGCGCTCCTGGCGGCACAACTGAGACCCTTGGGGCACTCCACTTCGTGCCAGAGGCACGGTGGCGGGTACATGTGCATATGATGTCTGGTGCTTGGGGGAATCCAGAGCTTCTGGGGATCTCTGGAGGCCTCCCGCGGACATCCGGAGACCTGCCCTCCATCTGACAATGCCCCACAGCGAGGACACAATACACCGCATTGAGGGGGCAGGGTTTCAGGCTGAGGACTCAGGGGGCCTGCAGACACTCCACTGAGTGCCCGCGAAACGCTGGCGGATGACGCAGGGGGATTTTTTTCCATTCAACACTGCCCAACAGGTGATCTGAGGGAAACAGGAACAAAGAAGCCCTCGACACGGGCGGACGCGCGACAACGAACCCACCAGAGTTAGGCGGGTAGCAATGCCGCAAGCCAGATCCTGCCCGTGGAGTGTGCCTCGGAGCCCGCATGCCCTCGACTGTACCAAAGGACATGCGGCAATCGGGATGACGCAGGGGGGGAGGGAGGTTGAACAGGTCGAGGAGGAGGAGGAGGAGGACCAGCGTAAACCCAATAGTCATCAACGAGTCGGAATAAACCCTCCCTCCAAGCTCCATCTTCATAGGCCCCTACAATTGGTCATTTCCGCTGATGGAACTGCTTCGTTGGAAGACAACCTTTTTGAAGACCCTGCAGCATCCCAAAACATTGTTCTCGAGATTCCAACGCCACGGATCAACTTGAATGTTGCGTTCTGGCGAGCCTGAATCGTGCCAGGACGCCATTCCTGGGACTTCACCACCTCGAATTAATGTAACTGTTGCTTCCTCATAATCCTGGATCCTTCCAAAACACCACTTCTGGTACGCTGACCATAGGAATCCGTGAAATTCTGGCAAATGTTAATCACGAGTGTGCGCGGCGCTAAGGCGAAAGCACCATTTTGAAGAGGAACCGCCCTCAATCCGCGAAGCTCTTGCAATTTTGAAACGAATGCGCGCAGCGCTAAGGCGAAAACCATGTTTTGAAAACCAGTCGCCTTCAATCCGTGAAACTCTTGCACACGTTTAAAACGAATGTGCGCGGCGGTAAGGCGAGAGCCACATGTTGAAAACCGCCCGCCCTCCATGTGTGAAATTGTTGTCAGTTGTTAAGCTTCAGGGTCATAAACTGTCTGGAATTATCCGGCGAAGCGCCCGTCCTAACAACTGGCCTCGTGACGCGACAGGGAGAAGTTATTCATAAGGACAAGGAATGGTGGAGGAGGAGGAGGAGGAGGAGGAGGAGGAAGACGAGGACCTTGAGGATGGAGGAGGAGGAGAAGACATCTTGGCCTTGTCCTTCCCGGTCTGTTCTCCTTCGCCCTCCTCTCCATATCCCTCCTCGCCCCTCCCATCCTGCCCCTCCTTCTGTGCCCCTCATGTCTGTGCCCCTCCGCTACCACCCCCCGCGCCGCTCAGCTTCCTACCCTCTCCCAGCCCCCCCTCGCCTGATTCCATCCCTTTAGTTCACGCAGCAACCACGTAGGGCAGCGACCACGTCTCTTTTATTCAGGGGGGCCAGCACCTGCGCATAGCAGGCGTAGGTTCGCCAGCCTGCAGGTCCGGACGCGCAGGGAGAATTGCATACGTACGGTGCTGCCTGAAGCCATCTGGCTGGCAGGCTCTGTTTCGTGATTCTGTTACCTCGGCCACCCCCCTGCGCAGACAGTAGTGAGGCGCACCGCTCTTGAGCGACCTGCCTCTAGAGAAAGACCCGCCCACTGGCCGCCGCCGATCTCCGGCCCTGCCGCAGCTGCCGCCGCTGCGTTGCCTGAGGCCGCGCCGCCGCGGCTGCGCCGCCGCCCCTCTCGCCGCTCTCTGGCGCGCCGCTGCGCCGCCGGCCCCCTTTGCCGATGCCGAGAGGAGGCCAGACGCGCTGCGCGCTGCCCTCGCCGCTGCGCTGCGCTGCGTCCCGCCGCGCTGCGCCGCCGCTGCGCCGCCGCTGCGCCGCCGCTGCGCCGCCGCTGCTCTCTCCCGCGCGGCCCCGGGCCGCCGCCCGCCCAGCCGCAGGCGGCGGGGCGGGCGGCCTCGCCAGATGTCCGGCGCTCCCGCGCGGTAGCTGGGCTTCCCCTCTCACGGCAGGAGGGCCCCAGGTCACCCAGAGATCCAGCGTCTCGAAAAAATCGAGGCGGAGGTTTTCCATCGTTTTCGACCTGGGGCCCTTGCCGGGCCTCGGGAGCGTCAGAAAATGATTCGGGATGAGAAGCCGGTCCCGGGGGAAGTGGTCGAGAGGTCGGGGTCTGCCTTGGTGGCGGGGGTGAGGACCCATTCGGGTACCCCCGGCCTGGGAGGGGGGGGGTCCTGGAGAGGCGGCTGGCGGCCAGCAAAGAGCTAGCAGTGTGAAACGGTGCGAGCGTCGCTGCTCCCTCTCCCTCCCCCTCCTCCCCTTCCTTCTCTGCCCCCTCCCCCTCCTCCCCCCATCTTCTCCTGGCGGTCGAGGGAGGGTTGGAGGCTCTTCGTCCTCCTCCTCCTCCTCCTCCTCCTCCTTCTTCGCAGCTGGCCAGGCGTGTCTCTGATGCACGCTGCGTGGAGCTCGTGGGTCATCGCCGCTTGGTGCAGGTGAAGAAATGCTCCTCCTCCTCCTCCTCCTCCTCCTCCTCCTCCTCCTCCTCCTCCTCCTCCTTCTCCTCCTCCTCCTCCTGGGAGCCCGAGGAGCCGAGGAGGACCGCCCGAGGCCTCCGCCCGAGACGCCGCCGCCCGGCCCGGGCCGCACCCCGCGGGGCGGCTCAGCGCGCGGCAGCGCCCGCCGCTCCGCGAGAGGCCGCCGCCGCCCGCCGCGGCCGGCGGCGGCTGCCGACGGCGGCAGCGGCGACCGCCACGGCCACGTCGACGAGATCCGGGCCGGACGACATTTGCTGCACCCAGACATGATCGCGTCGTAACAAAAATCAGGACGGGAGGTTTTTGGCTATTTTCGGCCCTGGGGGGCCCTCGCCGGGCCTCGGGACCGTCAAAAAACGACTCAGGATGAAAAACCGGTCCCAGGGAAAGGGTCGGGACTTCAAGGGACGCCGTCCTGAAAAAATCAGGACGTCGCATGTCTGGGCATGCAGCTGGTGTCGGCCCCGCCGAGGGGCCCATTCCTCGAGGCATGCGCGCCTCCGGCGCCGGGAGGCGCTGGGAGAACAGCCGCGTGAGCTGAGTCTCACCCCCCCCCCTTTGCTATCTCCCCCTTCCGCCCGGGCCGCGAGCTCTGGGCGCCTGCGGTGTTTGTGCGCACCAGGCGTGCCCGCACTGCTTCGGGCCCCTCGGCGGCGAGCCCTGGGCTCGGCATCGCTCGGGCGCGGGCGCGCTTGGCCGCGACGAGGGCCCACCGGGGAGCATCGTGGATCCCCCTTGCGAAACACAGGTGCGCGCGCGACAGCGAAACATGCACAGGGAAGTGGAGGTCCAAAAGATGGCGAGCCGGGGGGAGTGAGAGGGGGCAGGTCTTCTCAGAAGCCGGCGGGGCTCCCCAGAAGCCCTACGGCCTTCCGAGAAGTTTGCTGCGTCGTCGGATGCTCGGAGAGCTTCTCTCAGAGGGCGCGAGGGCTTCTGAGAAGCCCCGCCGCCTTCTGAGAAGGCCTGCCCGCTCTCGCTTCCCCCCTGTGCTCGCCGCCGAGCCCCGGGACCACCACGGATCGATCTGGCCCGGAAAATGCAGCAGAAAGATTGGATCTAGGGCTCAGGTAGTGATGTTTCGTGATGTTGCTGGTTTTCGCAACGTCGGGTCTCAGGGGACGCCGACGCCGTCGCGACGGCGTTAGCGACGGCGGCGTCGTCGACAACGTAGACGATGACCCCCAAAGAGGGCGCATAATGTCACCGATCCGCTCCCAACCTTGAGAAGCCTAGCAGCGGCAAGCGTCCCTGGCGCCAAGACGGCCCCCAAGGTTCCCCCAGAGGCCCCAGGAGGCCTCCACGAGGCCCCAGGGGGCCCTCCATCAGGCTTTCCAGAGGCCCCCTAAAGTCCCCCCGCCGACGACGACGGCGAAAGCGGACGTCGGCGGCGACAGCGACGGCGACGCCGCCGACGGCGGCAGTGGCGACTGCGACGACGACGGGGACGGCGAAGTCGACGACGGCGATGGCGGCGGCGACGGCGGCGGTGACGGCGGCAGCTGCGACCGCTGCGGCGGCGACGACGATGAGGCTTACAACTGCTTTACGACCTGGGAGATGACGACGGCGACGAAGGCGACGGCGACAATCGGGGATCGTGGATCCCCAGGTTTGGGGGTGTCCGAAATTTTCGGGGTGTTTCTCAACGCTCTCGCCGCCAGCTGCTGGGCGCGGCTCGGAAAACTAGCAAGGATGGAACCCCGCAGGGGTCTGGGGACCGATTCTGAGAAGATTTTGAAGCGGAGGATCTCTGCCCCCGTCTCCGTCGTCGTCGTCGTCGCCGTCGCCGTCGCCGTCATCGTCGTCTCGGAGGTGTGTTAGCGTTTCTGGAGGTTCTCGTCGCTACGGCTGGCTGGACGCGGCTCGAAACACGCTGGCGAGGAGGGACACTGGAAGGGGTCCTGGCGCCGCCTTTGAGCGGGCAGGGAAACCACATTGGGAGGACGGTAAGGAGACAGCTACACGGGATACCACAGCGGGGTGGCTCTGAGAGCGCCAGGTCCTCATCGTCTCGGACGGGCTAGGACGAGGACAAATCCGTTCCAGAGCGTCCCGGAACGCTCCGAGAAGGCTGCGGCGCCCGAGACATCTTCCAGAGCCGCCGGATCTCAGAGACTCTCGATTCATCCTCACCCGAATTCATCCTCGTCCTGGCTTCCCCTTATCAGCCTCCTCTGCCTCCCTCCCCCCCGGTCGTGTCTGTCACGGCTTCGTCAGTTTCGCCGGGGTGACATCAGGGCCCATTGGGGCCCCCAGGACTGCTGACTACGGTGCACCAGCAGCGGCCTCCGCGCATGGGTGTGCCCTCCACCTGGAGGGTTTCTCCGAAGGGCTTAGGCGGCCCGTCCTCGTCCTCCTCCTCGTCCTCCTCCTCCTCCTCCTCCTTCTCCTCCTCCTCCTCCTCCTCCTAACACGCGTTCAGAGTATCATCGAGCCACTCGTGCGTGGCCGATCAGCGCATAGCCCCTCGTTCTCCTCCGCGGCGGGGCGAGCGCCGGCGCTCTTCCGCAGACCGTCGCCGGGCGGCTCGCCGCGCGGCAGCAGCCGGAGCAGCGCCTCCACCGCGAGCATCGACAGCGTCGACGGCAGGAGATGGCGTGTGGGGTGGGACGCGGAAGTCGAAGAGTAGCACGGTCAGGATTTGTTGCTCAGAGTGTCGCGGTGGCGACGCGCGAGGTGCCTCGCGAGCTGATGGCGTGTCGCTCCGCTCCTTGCGGCGGGAGGCTGGGAGAGGCTCGGGATGTTGACGCTCCGGCACTGGGGCCCGGTTCGCGTGTCGGTGGGCCATGAGAAGCGAGGCGACACGCTAAGCCACAAGCCCGTTGACCGTAGACAGCATCCACAGATTGAGCGTTCCAGAAAGGGCCTCGCCTCGGAGGCTAGAAGAAGACTCCTCCTCGGCGAAAGGCGGCGGAAGGCCGGCGGAAGGCGACGGGAGCAAAACGAGGCCGCCTCCGCCGGCGGAGGGCCGGCGGGAGTGAAAGACGCGCCCCCAAGAGATGAGAACGGTTTGGGGTTCAGGTTTTTTGGGATCCGCCACAAAAATTGTCGGACCCAGACCCCCTCGAGTAATGAAAAAATCATGACGGGATGTTTTTCCTAATTTTCGGCCTCCGGGGGCCCTCACCGGGCCTCGGGAGCGTCAAAAAACGACTCGGGATGCAAAGCCGGTCATGGGGAAAGGGTCCAGACCTTTGGGGGTCGACGTAATGAAAAAATCATTACGTCGGGGGTCTGGGGAGGTTGTCGCGGGTTTCTTGGGTCGGCGTTGGGCCCCCTGGCGGCGCCTCCGGCGCCGCCCCTGGCACGCTGCGCGCGCCAGGGAAGGGGGGGGGATCAGCGCCGATCCAAGAGACAAACGCGGACACCCGAAAGCTTATGTGTATGTTGGTGCTTCTTCTGCTAGGGGGCGATGTGGAAGGGAAGGGGTTCGAAGGATCCGAGGGATAAGGAATGCATTGAACCATGTCGCAAGGGGAGCACAACGACGCTGAAGGCAACAACGGTGACGGAGACGACACGACGGCGTCAACGACGACGACGACGACGACGACGACGACGACGTCGACGACGACGACGACGACGAAGACGACGACGACGACGACGACGACGACGACGACATCCACGGCATCAACGACGTGGTCCACGACGACGGCGGCGACGACGTCCTCGACGACGACGGCCACAGTGACGACGTCCTCGACGACGCCGCCGCCGCCGACGACGACGACAGCGGCGGTGGCGGCGGCGGCGGCGGCTGCGGCGACGACGACAACGACGTAAAAGACAACGACTCGCCACGAAAGGGTCCCGAGGGAAGCGGCATCTGGACCCTGGAGCTTTCTCCAGGGCCAGTTCTTCCTCCCGAGTCGTGTTTGACTGCGCTGGGACCGTGAGATGCCCAAGGGCGCCGAGCACTGCAGTAAGCTCTTCCCAGGGCCCCGTTCCCCTCAGGTGTAGCCCTCAGGTTTAGCATCCTCCTCCTCCTCCTCCTCCTCGTCCCCCCTCCTCCTCCCTTTGTTTCCTCCATGAGGTGTAGCTCCCTTTGCACGACTCCTTCGTGGAGCCTGAAGTCAGCGTCGCAAGTGAAGGTCACCCATTTCTGAGCGTGTCTCGTGCTGCCTCCTCCTTCTCCTCCTCCTCCTCCTCCTCCTCCTCCGCGGCCGCACTGCTGCTTCTCCCACCGCGTAGGTGCACAATCTGCTAGGCCGCGGCCCGCTCTAGCCTGGACGTTGCGTGGCAGACTCACATTGCTGCGACAAAATGACACCCTTGCGGCAGAAGGCCCTAAACCTCTTTTCGCAAGTACGATTGGGGCCACGAGGGAGGGTCACAATGGGGGCCACGATGGCAGGATAGGGGACAGGGATAGGGATAGCTAGGGAAAGGTGTATCGGGCGAGGGATGTCGGGATCCGGATCGACAGTGGGAGACAATGAGGATCGAGACGGGGATGTGGATGGGGAAGGAGACACGGATAGGAACGTGGATAGACAGTGGGAGACAACGGAGGGTACCGCGAGATCATGGGGGAACAACGGGAGACAGCGGGAGACAGCGGGAGACAACGGGAGACAGTGGGAGACAACCGCAGACGACCGCAGACAACCGAAGACCACGGGAGGCAGCGGGGAGGCCATCGGGGAGAGACAGCGGAGACGAGGCAGAAAACGACGGGAGGCCACGCGACGCGACGCCTGGCAACGGGAGGCCCTCGGGGAGACAGCGGGGCATCACCTCGCCCGCCCGATCCTGGGGAGGGCCCCCCGGCGCGACGAAGGCGGCAGCACCGCAGACTCCCCGGGGATGCTTCCCGGGCCGTGTCTCGTCCCGGCCCCGCAAGCGGCCTCGCGATGGCTGCCTCGCGGGACCTCGCGAGGGTGGCGGACCTCCTGCCCTGACGCGTCGAGGAAGGCATTTTGGCCGCTCTCGGTTCGCG